AGAAGGACAGAGCAGGTCACTCTCAAAGACAGAGTGAAAAGGGAGAAAGAAAAAAACAAGTTAGGAAGAAGAACTTTTAAGTTTAAAGGAAACGGCTGGAGATATTCTTTATTCTTTTTTACTGTCAACCCAAGAAATCCCAAAAGACCCAAGAAAAGAATGGACAATTAACTGATCCTTTCAGAGCTAGACTTGAATTATATGACTTGGACTCGAGGCTCCAGTTTAGACCCAATTTGACAAACTAAAAAGACTTGCAAATCAAGTGTGACTACACCTTAAAGAAGAGTAATATCATGTTATTGTTCTTACAAAAGTTGAATTCAAAAATAATGGCAAGGTAAAGAAATCTTCCACTATTCAACACACTTAGGGGTGTTACAGCTATGACCTTACTTGGTCTGACCATTACGTTATGGTAGCTGGTCCTGGTTTGTGCACAGACTGAATAAAATAATGGATGTAGCCACAGTGATGTGGACTTCCATTTTGAGGCCTCGAGTCTGGCAAAATGTCCCTTGCCATCATGGATTTGTAGAGCCAAAACTGACCATATTTGTACGAGAGGGCGGGAATAACACAAATGATAGCTGTTAGCTTGATTAGCACAGTGCATTTACAGCAATGGCTAACTGTAATAATGCTACTGCTAATCTTTGCTCGTGAAAAAGAGGCTTAAAACCGTTAAAACAAAATCTACTGACCAGAAATACTGAATATGTGACTCCTTAGAGGGTCTTTCAGTGCAAGCAAATGCTGAACAAGACATTTTAGATGACCACAACATTACCTTTAACCTTCATTAACGGAAAAATACGCTAAAATGGCAACAGCTACGGCTATGCCTAGACTCTATGAATCTGGGGTTATACCATGGTTTCCTTACCTAACCAACATTGTCACAGTGGTACAGACACCACCCACCTGTTGCTCATAGAAGCCCCGCTCTTAATTATGCATAAATTTAAGCTTTATTAACATTTAAACGGTTGAGTCATATAAAATGTCACAGTTGTCAAGAATGTTGAAATCAGCTATAGAGACCAGAACAGTTTTTTGTACCAGGCTGTAAACAAGTTCAGCTCTGCTGTAAAGTTGGGCATTTTAATATGGAAATCTATGGGGGATGACTCACTCTTGGTGACAGTCTCAAGTGGCCATTCAAGGAACTGCAGTTCTTCGCACTTCTGCCAGTGAGTTTCTGCTCATACAGATGTTAGCAAAGACAGATGTTGTGCTATTACTTGACATTACTTAGTCAGTTTGCTGACTATTAAAGTAACACATGAGCTGTAAGTGTAGCCTCATACAGCTGTGTTGTTGTCCAAGAATAATTAAAAGACATCAATAAGCCTCCATGTTCCACTGGTTAACATGTTCCTTCATTACGTTGAACATGAGCATTGTAGTTTCTTTTGGGTTAAACCCAGATACACTGTCCAGGTGCTCCAAATGTGAATTCATCTGCAGCTCAAAATAATCCACAGAAAATGCAATATTTACTCCTGTTTGAGTGACGTTTTGTAAAACTACAGCGCCCGGAAAATTACTTTAGACGTTTTTTTGATGTTGCTGGGTGCCACAGACAAGAAAGGGAAGTTAGAGAGTATTGAAAGAACAACTCATTGTTTTCTATGGTTTTTTTTGTGGGATTTGATGCCACTGAGAAAACAATGAAATAGCATTAAATATGGATGAGAGGACCTTTAGCAAAAAAGGATGAATGAGATACGTGTACGATATGAAGACAAATACGAAATACAAATCACATAAAAGTACAAATAAATCAAGATACATACGCTTTGCCAGTGATTAGAAAAGAAAAGTATGCAAATTTACAGCCTACATTAGCAGCTCTATGAGGGCCATACATAATATGTGTGCATGAAATGTCTCATTAGGAGCAAACTGTGATGTTTTCCCCCTCCATAAATGTGACATGTGGGCGGGGAGCAATAACAACAGCCTGAAATTCAAAATGTCAAAATGTGACTTTTAAAAAATAAAAGAAGAAAAGAATAAATAGTGAGGACAGATACAGAGAGAGAGAGATGTTGTGTTTCTTCTACAGCAACCTCATGTAAGCCTCTTGTAATTGCTGGGCAGGGATGGTGGTGGTGGTGTTGGTGGGTGGGTGGGGTAAATATTATCTCTTCAACCCATCTCTGCCCCACCATAACCCACCCAACTCTCACACACACATACACACTCACATACACAAACACACACACACTCCTGCGCTGCCCGGAGCTCCAAATCCCTCAGACTGCCAGCCTAAGCAGTACACACACTCACACACACATATAAACAAAGGGGGATTAGATAGACAGACACACACACACTCTCTCTACACAAATAGGTATAAACACACACGCCCTCTGTGCCCCCACATTTTCTCTCACTCTGGTTTTTCATTGCTTGTCTTCTTGTCTCTGCCTTGCAAACTCACACTGCATGCAAACGGCAACACACACACAGACACACACACACACACACACAGGTTAATATTGAAGCTATGTGTCTGTGCAGGGAGATGCTTCCATGCAAAATGAAGCACAGGGTGAATGGCCTGCAGTGCGTGTGTGTGTGTGTGTGTGTTTTCCTTTCTCCGTCGTTCCTCTGAAGCTACTTTCTGTCCTTTTAAGGCAGTTAGCGACTGGCCTCCCTCTCCCAGTCTCTCTCTATGTCTCTCCACCTGTCTCTCTCTCTTGCTTTCCTTCCATTATATATATCTCCCCTCTCTCTTGTCGTTTCTCCCCACCACCCCCCCCCCCCACCCCCCCTTTCTGCAGCTTTGTTTTTCCATTTCGTCTCTCTCCTATCTCCTCCTCAGCACCGTGGCAAGAACCCATCCATATAAGTCATTTTACCCAGTATTGAGCCTGAAAATCTCATTTTTCTTTAACCAAGTGGAGAAATCTGTCAGCGGGTAAGATAATCCCACTTGTTTCCAATGCAAATCAATTTACGTCAAGAATCTTTGTATCCTCAAGTGCCACACTCGAATCAAGTATGACAGAAATGGTGCGATCCTCCTTTATCCCGTGTTTCATGACAAGGCTTTTATTTCCAAGACATTCATGACAAAAAAAGTTGAAGCTGCACTCGAAGCAAGGGGAGTTATCTCACCTCTACAGGCAGGTTTTTTCACCAGTTTTTCAGAAAACACTGAAACTGAGATACTTTTTGGTAGTTTTTTTCCCTCTCCTTCCATATAAGAACATGTGTGTGCATCTGTCCCCGTTTGCCCTGTCTGGTGTGTCTTAACCACAAGTGAGTTCTGGCCAAAGTGCAGCAGAGATGTGGGCCACTCTCTGCCAATGCTGGCTTTGCTTTGTCACACTAGAGCATTTTCCCCAGAAAGAATTGACGCCCTATCGACTGTTTCCCCCCATCCTCAGGCCTCAGATCCCACCGCAACACTAGTGATGACTGTAGCATGGAGGGATGAGAGGAAGGCTGTATGGATAAAAAAAAAAGGAGAAGGGGAGGAGAAGGTGGGGATGTGTGATAGCGGCATGAGAAAGCTGTGTTTGAAATATCTCCACACCCCACCGCCACCAAGCGCCATTCTCCTCAAGAGCGGCTGAAATCTGAGCTCTTTGTGAAAACGCCATAAGAGCATTTCGGGTTCATACGATGAGCCGCAGCATACAAAGCACAAAAGGGAAGGGGAGGGATAAAAGGCAAACAGAAAGAGGAGGAAGAGAAGGGAAGGGAGAGATAGATATGGGATGAAAGGTGGAATAGGTGGTACAGAGGTGAGAAAATATAGCTTTTTTCCACATATTTTTTTCCTGTCTTTATAGTATTTCCCTAATCCCCAAGAGAGAGAATGCAGCACTTCCCCTTTGAGGGATTAAAAAAGACTATTTCTCGGCTTGCAACAATCGGCATTGTTCAGTGAAGAAAATCGGGCCTGGCTGCAGAGCAGGGCCAAGATAAAGAGTGCAAATGCAGTTGAGCGCTAGGATTAGACCGATGTATTGTTTTACCGAGGGTCGATTCAGCCACTTAACAGAAATCAGACAGCATCCACCTCTGATATAATGGAAAATCCTCCCTGATTCTTGTAATGGAATACATTTTTGCAATTACTGGTTTTGTCTCAGATGTCTGACAAGATCATTCCAGGGCCAACTTGGAGGATTCTACCAACAGCTGTCAACCAATAAAATCCGTCTTAAGGTCTGGCCTCAGTGGATTAAGTCGCAGGAAATAAAGTAAATCTGCACAAATGTTTTGTGTCAAGTTCAACTTTGTAAATTTGAACGTTCACTAATAGCAAGTTGTCTTGATAGTACTGATCTTTGAGAGAACAGAGAGCTGCAGATGAGTGTGTTGAGTATAAACTGCTCCACAAACAAGGAATAGTTTGAGACAGTTAGTCACTTAGGAGAAGACAGTGAAATTGTCTGCTCCGAGTAGCAGACGTCAGATTTCACTTATCAAGGGACGACAGTGAAGAAACTTTACAGACAAGACGATGGCAGAGGATTTGGTGTCAAAGCAAAAAGTGAAATTGCCTATTTGGAAATATCTCAAATTTAAACCCAGTGCTAATAGGGAACCTGATAGTGTTAATGAGGTAAAAGAAGTAGGTTGCCATAAAGTTGGAGGTGTGCAGCCAGTCTCCTGCAGGTCTTCATCTAACAGCTCACTGTGAGTGTTCCTTCTTGTTCTATTGCTCCCCGCAATATTTCAAACTGACTGTTGTCTCTGATTTCAAACACATTGCATTTTCTGTGGCTACTTCATAATAAAGGTCAGCTCATGCCAGTTAAATGCTTTTAATGTGAAGGTGCAGCAGCAGTAACTCATTAGGCTACAGCGCTCTAAAGATATTGAGTGTCATGAATGTAAAATGTCCAGGACTGGTTAACACTGGTGCTGTCACAAGTTTATCAACAGGTGGGAAAATTTCCTGGCATCGCACTTTCACTGGAAAATTTCAGTTCTCATTTTGGTCTCACTCCTCTACCAGCTGGTATTACACTCACCCTGGTATCGAACTGTCTTGCGTGGGACGGGGTTCCAGTTGAGACCCAACGACTTCTCCCATCCAACCAGAAACACCAGGAGCAAGACCTTTGTCCCGCCCATGGCTCCCATATCAGCTCCCATTTGTCGAAACTGGCGGTGAGTGATGGATGGAGGGATCAATCAGTTGATCAGAGGGACTCGAGAGAGCAGCCCGACTCCTGGCAGCCTGCCATGAGAAAGAAAAACCAACACATCAGCTGGAAGCAGCAATTCACTTCCTTTATTGGCTTGCTTGTTTATCAGAAACTATTTTCTCAGAACAGTATTTACAACTTCCACATTTTTCACAAAGCCACACAAAGGAGTTCACACATTCAAGCTGCGCTGAAAGATAAATTTCTCACTCTGAAACAACATGTACTGTAAAATTTAACACGGTCATCAAAATCCACAATAGTGTAAAACAGAAATGAGTTATGCAAATCATTAAAACCAACAAGGACATAGCTGTAATCAGTGCCTGTGTGTGTGTGTGTGTGTGTGTGTGTGTGTGTGTGTGTGTGTGTGTGTCTGCCAGTAAAAACAAACTAAACATTTTAATGACTTTTGGCCGGGGGGGGTTATGCAGGAAGGTTTTCCCTGTCCCTCCCTCACTCTGAGCGATAATCCAGCTATCGCCACTCAAAAAGCTCAGAAATAGCTTATCGCCGCACTCTTGTCAAGCCAATTCAGCAGCAGTATATTAAACTGGGACTGAGTTATCAAAGTTAATTGGCGCTGGCAATGCATCAAACGCCAATGTGTTGGGAAATGAATGTCGAGGCAAGGACAATCCAATAGCACTGTGTTGTAAATGAATTGGTTTATACCTAATGAACATGTCAAGTGTGCGGCTACAGAGCGGCATTACAGTCCAATAACAGCACAGCATGATTGACTTGTTATGGTGCTGCAGGTGAGACTGATGTACAGGGCGAGGAGAGGAATTTCACATTGAATAGAACTTACATGAATAATGACACACCCTCAAGTTTGTTTTCATGTGCTTGTGAGGACCTGCCAGCCCTTACACTTTTACTGTATGTAATATTGTCGTTTTTGTATGAACTCAGTGACATCAATTAGAGGAATTGTGTTTATTCATAAAACAAGTCACTTGTCACATAACTGTATTCATTTATTTGTATAAGTAAAGTGTTGAACTGGGAAAAGAACTTTATAAATAATATTTTTAATAATGTTGGCCTGCAGCCATCGGTAGATTTGCTGCAGCCACATGTGCTGACAAACTGCAATGATCAGTGATGCCAAGTGGGAGATTACACAGCTAAGAGGGAAATTACACGTTCGATGTGTTCTTCCACAAAACTGCTGGTGGATGGTCATATCTATTTAAAAAAGAAATCAATAGCAACATCCAGAAACCGTCCCCGTAACTGTAGGCCTCAGAAAGCTCCAAACAAACTAGGTTGTACATGTCATTTGACTGCATCTTGAGGCAAAAGTGCCTCAAAGGTGGGGCGATAAAACTCTTCTTGGCGGCATCCCTGATCTCTCTCTTTGCGTTTGGAGACTCAATGCTCTCGAATAAGTATTGCACTGCTGGAAAGATGGTCTTTTCATAAAACTAGGCTATCTGTGCAGTAGAGAGATGCACATACTCTTGATACTGGTGCTAAATGGCCCGGGAAAGCAGAGAAAAAGGACTGTGACATTTGTTGTTACTCAAGGAGAAAACCTATAACTACCAGAAAGCACTGCTACCAATATACACTCCTGGTGGTGGGTGACATAATGTCAACTTGTTCATGTGACACAATGGTGGCTGATAAGCAACAAACGATCTCGAATTACAGTTAAACAGCAAGCTAAAACATGTTTCTGAAAACATATGAGGTGAAATATAGGCGACACTGTAACAGAATCTTAGTTTATAGCTGATGAGCGCTGCTTAGTTTTACTGTTTGTGCTCAGTTTTTTGGGCCACCATTTTCACTGTGCAGGAAACAGTATAACAGTTACTAACAGTTAGCCCTGTCTCTGTGTGTTTGCAGACGGGTGGACTCACAACTTCACCAGCACAGAGCTCACACTTTTGCAGCAACTACAACCCATTCAGTTTCTGGTGTGGTGAAGTTGCGCTCAGTGTATTGACAGAGTTGGCAGTTCAGCATGCCGTGATGCCACCAAAGTGTTTCAAAGTACGTCTACGCTACACGACACTCCATTCACATTGTAGTTTTCAAATGGAGTACTCAAGTGGCACTGTTATCACTCTAAGGGCACTGGTATTGGTACTGGTATAGCAATTTTTTGAACGATACTAATCGACAAAGTATTGTGTCCACATATTTTACATAGGGACCTATTTTGTCTTGTTAGAAAGTAGTTCCAATCTGATTTTCCTGCATGTGACACTGTCTGTGAAGAGATGACACTGTTACATTTAAATGTCATTTTTAAATGCTGCGAGTACCACAAGCAAAGTTTTCTTCACTTTTATATGCCATATTTAAATGGCAGCACAAATCTTAGAGATGTCAAAACCCCACCACAGAAAACCCAAACTATCTGCATGGCTAGATACCACTGGGAGTGGTAAAGCAAAAAAAGATGTGATTTTTGCAAAGTAATTTAGGGGAGCTGACCCTTTAATTTAGATTTAAAAGTAACCTATAATAAACCCACTGCATCTCCAACTCACTGACCACAATCTAAACCAAGTCTAATTACACTAACCTTAATACTAAACCAATTACTGAACTTTAACCTTACCACAGAGGCTGTAAGAAATGATGGATCTCTCTTAATGTTTGCGTTCTTATGAGGACCAAATATACTCATAAGAATTGAAACACAAAGGCACACACATGCACAAATGCACATACACCATCTGTAAGCTTTCCCCTCTGCACCTGCTGTTGCGTATCATCAAGTGAAATGGCGCCTTTGAAATGGCGCATGCTCATTGGTGAAGGGAATCCATTGACTTTTAAGCAGGCACAAAATGTCAAACTATATTTACTTTAACCCAGCACAAAGACAGAAAGTACCTCTGTACTTGTAGTGCATTTTATGTCTCCCGCCCCCTCTCCCTCATCTGTTCCTACACGTGAATATTAAATTCCAGTGCTGGCAAAAAAAAACAACATTTGGCCTATTTGGTGGATTGGCAGGGGAGGTAATTGAGATTTGGAGATGTGTGTGTGTGTTTGTGTGCCCACGTCCAACCAGTGTGACTGTTATTGATTACACTTTTGAGGGGAAAATAAGAAGAGGCTGAAAGTAGAAAAAAAAAAATCAAACACCCCTCCAACACTCCCTCGCCACCCTTCAGCGTCAGATCAGATCATAGCGACGTGCTGTTAAATGAGCGTGCTTAAACGCTGGGTTTGGGTGTCTCCAAGCTTTGCGGTGCAGACTACCAGCTTTATTGGATCGATGCTGGAGGCCTTGCTGGCCAAACGCTTGAGTGAGCCGAGATTGAGATTGAGATTGAGAGGTGGAGATGGAGGGGTGACGAAGGGAAAGAAGGGATAAAGGGTTGAAAGAATGACAGAATTGGAGGGAGAGTTACAGAGAAAGAAAAAACATCAGGAGACATTACAGAGGCTTATAGTTTTTCTTTTTTTTCTCTCTCCTTCAACATCCATCCTTCCATTTCTTTGCTGAGAGGTAACCAAGTGAAGTGGGCATCCTGAAGGCCGGATTAAGTGAAGAGGCAGCGTGTAAACACAACAGGGGAAGATGAGGAGGAAGGGGATAGTGAAGGAGCGGATACAAGCTTCTGCTGCCTCTTTCTGCTTTTTCTTTCATCCTGTTTCCTCTCTTTTCTCTCTGATATAATAATATTGCCAAAGAGTTACACTAAATGTTGATCTTCAAATCCAGCACTGTACATACAGAAAGGCGAAACTCAAGGGTCTGCTACAACCTGCAAGGCGAGGGTCACATGACAATGGGCTACTTTTCTCTAGACATGTTGGCTCAGTTGCATCATAAAGCCATCATAATAGTTGAAATAAGGAGTTAAAAGAAGTTGACATGCTGGTAGCACCACAACAACACCAGACTGACATATCATAGGGTATCAGATTGTATTCTAATCGCAAGGATTGCTTCGATATAAATTACATTCCAGTTTCTGTGATACTGTTGTATTATTAAAAAAGTTTCTTTAATGTGTCTGTCACTTAATAAAAGACCAACTCTGATTAGAATATCTGGCCGGAGGAATATTAGATGATGAACAAAGAACAGCGCCATGCCATTGTAATAAAACCACAAATATAATTCTTAGACTGAAATATGTCAGTTGTCAAAAACGGTGGTTTCAAACCTCTTCCCTTAACAGACCCCATTTTCTATTATTAAGTAAACTGACAATCCCTCACTAAGTGACATAATTTCAGAATATTTTCTAATAGAAACTCTCTGCATTTTGTTTTAAGGGTTAGGGTTAGTTTTTTTAAACAATCATACATGACTTAATGGGCTTCTTTTTAGACAAATTCTGTGTTTTTTTTCTCTCCCTGACACTTTTTCTTCAGTTCTTCGGTTAATTGTGTACTTTCCCTGATGCGGGATGAGGCTGTTTAGCATAGAGTAACAGCTCTGTGAATCTAGCTTGTAATCAGGTCTTCACCGTGCGCTTATCCTATGAGATTTTGTGAGAAGTTTATATCTTGAAAAATAATCTAAACTTAAAATAATGTCCTTTTTTTAAAACTCACAAAAATGAACGAAATGCCACGACATAAGCCTACTATACATACTCTACTCTACTCTCTTACACAAAGCCTTGCGACCCCTTGTGAAGCTTTGGCGACCCCAGGGGGGGTCAGTAAACTGTAATAAAATATATCATAATAAAACCATTGTCAAATCCTCTGCCAGCGTGGTCTTTAGGAAGTACACAGATTATGAGCAAATCACTATTTGCTTTGTAAAGTTATCGTGGAGTTATCAAGTTTGCTACTGTGGTAGACGGTTCGCTTGCCTGTGCATAATAGTGCATGTGAGTCCCTCTGTGTGTAACCCACTGGCTAGCTACAGTAACTGCTGCTGCTCTGCAAAGCATTCATATGGCAGGTACATCTGATATTGGGACAGCTTTGTTGCAGAATCCAGTGCCCACCCTCCGGTTCCCCCCCAGGTTAATGCCATTAGCTCCGTCAGGACCGTTTCAATTGTTAGCTTTGTTCGTACTGTTAGCGTTGTGAGCTG